TATATATATATATATATATATATATATATATATATATAATGTTAATTCCCAGCTCTAGCAGAAAAAACTTGCTACCATTGGGATATATATCCTTAATTGTAAAAAGTTGAAGTAATATCTACATTTTTAGACTCGAATTCTGTTGCGGTCCTATGATAAAAATATATAAATATAATCTTTCTATACTTAGTCGTGTTGTGGTTGACAGTGCGGATTAATGGTTTTCTTTGAAAAGTTATGTGCAAATTGAATACCATCTCACCTGTCGATTTTTAAATGATATATATATGGCTAGCTTAAGATAGCAATTTCAATTCAAATTAAATTAAGAAATTCAAAAACTTTAAATTATAACATGTCCACAGACACAAACATCTCATGATTAAAATGTAAAACATTCTCTTCTTATTCTTGAAATATGAATAAATGAAAGTTTAACTCGAAAGTGTTTTATGAAGTTCACGAAATTTGATTTATTTATTATTTTCTTTTTACATGAAAAAAAATAACTTGAATCTCAAAAATAATCAACAAAAAGTTACTTCACCTCTTTTTACTTTTTATGATATATTGACTAAATTAAGAAAAAATAAAAAAAATAACATTGAAATCTATTTTTATTGATCAACTCGAATTCCCTCCTAGGTACACAATGTGATTGCAAACTAAGTAAATAAACTTTAGTATATTACCAACGAAATATTTAGCTAGAAATTAAAGTTCATGTATAATCTAATACAAAAACTGTTACATAATATTATTATTCGTAAAATAACGTTTATGTTTATTATTTTCCTTTCAAATTAAGCATATGTTTAATTTAACAAGATATTTTATAATAACTTATAATTAAAAAAGCCTTACTTTCACTAATATAGCTTCTAGTATATTTTTTCAAGAGAATATATATATATATATATATACCGAAGACTAGGAATAGACCAAAGCAAAGACTATATGAATGGGGACTTATTGGATGATGATGGAAGTGACAAAATTACTAATATAACCTCATGTAGGTACATTAACAATAATATGTAAGATTTATAAGAAATAATCAATAATTTGCTAGACTAATTATGAATATAAATTATATAATATATAAAAAAATTATAAGATATAATATTTTTGAACAATAAACAAATTGATTTTTTTATACATCACATATTAAAAATAGATTACATATATGTATTATGTGTGAAATAGAAAGTTTTAATTATGAATATAAAAATTATTTACAAATTAAACATAAAAACAAAAGAAATATATTGTACTCTCTTGAATATTTTTTTAGAGAGACATACCTACCTAACCCTTATGCCTTTTAAGCTCGAGGTTAGTGAACAAATGTATCTTCTCAGATATTCTTTAACACAGACGTATCAAGGTGGGGCAGATAGACAAATAATTGATCGAACTAGCCACATAGATAATTAGATTTAGTTTGACGCTTATGCCTAATGGATAACCG